GGTTAACCTCTCTGAGCTCGGCTTCCCTACCTGCATCACGGGAAGGACAACATTATCCCTGCATAGGGACCAATGATAATGCATGGACGTCATACCCAGCACCCAGCAGAGACTTGTAAACTGCAGAGACTTTTCATATCCATAAGTCATGGTGCCTTCTAGGAAGCGGGCAGTTACTCACCATTCTGCAGTCTGTCTTAACTGAAACTTCCTGCAAGAGGCAGCCCAGGGAACACTTCTACCAAAGGCACCCTGGCATTAGGTCAGGGGCTGCCTCTGCCTCCTTCCCGTCCTAGGGAACCTGCTGGATGAGCTCAGAGAAGCGTTGCCTCCCAAGCACTAATCACAGAGCTTCCCCCACAGCACACCCAGCACTGCAGTCTCTGTGCCCCTCACCACCCTGGGGTGAAGCTTCAGCTTAATCCCTTCCAGCCTTCAAAGTCTGAAGCACTAATCACAGAGCTTCTCCCACAGCACACCCAGTGCTCCCAGCACTGCAGCCTTTGTGCTTCTCACTGCCCTGGGGTGAAGCTTCAGCCCAATCCCTTCCAGTTATCCAAGTCCGATTGACGGATGACATCCTCAGCTGGCTGACATCTGCCCGGTCTCCTCTACTGGGCAGAGGAGGACATAGATTTTCTAGGCTCAACTCTTGGAATTCTGATTTAATGGATCTGAGGTGGGGCAGGACATCTGAATTTCATCAAGCACCAATCCGCCTCAACCCCGATGCACAGTCTCCAACCAAACCATTGGCTTCTCAGTGTCTCTCAGACTCCAGCCTCAGCTTGCCACCTTGATGACAGGGATGCTTTAGGTAGTCTTAGCTATCCTTTTACTTGGTTATGCCCTAAGCCAGGGGCCCTTACTCTGGCTGTTTATTAATGTATAAATGTACAATGTATACAATCCCACAGCCAGGTTCCTCTGTGGATGAGAGGAGTTTTGCTCTTGTCGCCTAGGCTGGAGTGCAATGGCACAATCTCATCTCACTGCAACCTCCACCTCCCGGGTTCAAGCGATTCTCCTGCCCTCAGCCTCCCAAGGAACTGGGATTACAGACACCCGCCACCATGTCTGGCAAATTTTTGGGTTTTTTTTTCTTTTTTTAGTTGAGATGGGGTTACACCAAGTTGGCCAGAATGGTCTCGAACTCCTGACCTCAGGTGATCTACCTGCGTCAGCCTCCCAAAGTGTTGGGATTACAGGTGTAAGCCACCGCGCCTGGCAGAGAGAATTTTTTTTAAAAGCCCTTTGGGCAGTTGCAAGGTGTGGCGCTGTTTAAAGTAATCACTATCTTAAGTAATGATATGCATGAAATCTAACAGTAAAATATATACATAAAAACACATGCATATATATGAATACCCAAAACATGTTCATGTCTATCAAAGGGAACAAAGTTTCCATTAGACAGGGGGATAAGTTTTTCTGTGAACCTATTGTAAAGCTCCTCTAAATACAAAAACAAAAACGTGCTCATTCACAACCAACCAAAAGTCATCCTGGCTTTTGTGTTTTGAGAAACTCTAACCTAGATGCTAAGGCCTTTCCCATCTTTCTGGTCCAAATCCAGGAAATGACGGGATTCTTCCTATCAAGACCCTCTTATGTTCTAGACCCCACCAGGCCGCTTTGCATGTGTGATGGCATGGCGCCTGAGAGCAGCCCTCAGCAGAGGTCATGATCAGCCCCAAAACTAAGAAGTTAGCTGCAGAGAACTCAACCTCAGATGCATGCCTCTGCTTTCTATCATGTCAGGAGCAGAAAAGTGAGTGGCCCTGCCTTTTAGGGGGCTTAGACTGAGGAGCTGGGATTCCATTTGTGTTACTGGTTTGTAACATCAGCTAAGCAGAGGCCTTCCAAAGGACTGGCACCAGGGACCAAGAGTGCTCGGATGAGCACGTCACTCTGCAGACAGTCCAGATTTAGCACTCTCACCCATGCCATTCCCTCCCTCTGATTTCTTCCAACATTAGACACATAGGGATAAAGTTTCACTCATATAAGAGAAGCCCAGCTTTAGTAATCAGCACTGTAATGATCAGAGTTTTCATTATTCAATTGTTTGCATGGCCAACAGACTGGCCCATGACCTTTCATTCCTGGCAAAGCCTAATTGCATGAAAGCGCCACACAGTTTGAAAACAGGCTGCATTATTTACTGATCCAATCTAATTGGCTTGCAATTCCCAGACCAGCTTTAGATCAATGAGATGCATTGTGTGTTCTCCCGCGTGAGTAAGGAGGCCTCTCTGCTCCTGGGCAGCCCAAGACAGCTCTGTAGTCAGAAGATGAGTCTTTGATGGGCTTCCAAAGCATCATCTTAATGGGCACAGTAGGATGCTAGAGGGCATCCCCCAAATCTATTTTATTCTTAAACAGAAAAGAGTGAATGTTTCTGATTATGAAGTTCTGGAAAGTTAGTCCTAGCCAGGAAGGGGCAGGAGGATTCCTGTTGCAGAACTCCCACCTTGTGGAAATCGGGAAACGAGACTCAGAGTGAAGCGGCTGGTTAGCAGAGCTGGAGAAGAATGTGCCATGTCCTGAGACTGACTCCATTCTCAATCCTGAGCACTGTAAATACTGTGGCGATTAAGATTTAGCCACTGTCCCCTGGGAATGCACTGGGAATGAGGGTCACCAAGAGGTCACAGGCATAAAAAGAACATTCCCGCATATTGTTATTTGTGCCTATTGTTATTTGTGCTCTGACAGAGGCAAAACAGGGTGCTGGAAAGGAGGCAGCATGTTTGTTTTAGCTTCACTCATTCATGCATTCACTTATTCATTTGATGGTGTATATTGAGCACCTACCTTGTGTCAGGCCCATCCTATTCTAGGCATTATGGACCCAGAGCCAACAAGGTGGGAAAAGTCCCACCTCCAGCTCCTCACACCAAGTGGGGCATCAGACTAATGAAACACACACTTAAATTGATGTTCAGGTACCATTATGGCAAACTCTAGAAAGTGGTGTAAGGTGATGGGAGAGGCAATATTCGGAAATTCTGATGTGATGGGAAGAGTGGGGACTAATTGGACACGTGTAGATGTGGGATTGTGGGTTGGGTGGGGTCCAGGCAGAAGGAGCAGCAAGGGCCAGGGCTGGAAAGAGCTTGTGTGTGAGGGTTTGAGAGACTGGTGTGGTGGGCTTGTCAAGGCCTGCCTTGTGACGAGGTTAGGGATGTGGGACTGCAGCCTAAGAGCCATGGGAAATCTAGATGGTCTCCATATTTGGGCAAAGGGTTTGGAGGATGATCAGAGGAGCTCTTTACAAAGATTTCTGTGGTAGCTGTGGGCTGCTGGGCTGTCAGGGTTGGGGAGAATGGGGGAATGGTGACAAAGTGGAAGCAAGGAGACCCAATTTGGCCCACATAAAAGATGATGCTTATACCAGGTCAAGGCTACTAATAGTAAACTAATCCAAGGATCACAGGAGACAAGCCATGCCAAGTTCTTCGTGCACACGGTCCCTGGCCATGGTCGACAGGGGACCTGTGTAGCTACTGTCATTACCCAGCCCATGCAGCTCTCACACCCTGCTGGACAGGTGATGCTTATCCTCTTTCAAAACTCTCCAGGAAGTATCTTGTGGGAAGATAGTGAACTTTGGCTTCAATGGCATGGTGAGGCTGCAGTTCTGATGACCTAGCCATGACCTCGGGCAAGTTATGTAATGAAGCTGAGTCACCAATTCTTTTTTTATAAAGAAAAATTTGAGTCTCTCTTTGCAGGTCGAGTGCTGCAATTGAAAAGATGCACGTAAAGTCGGGCACTGCTGAGCTGTTCACTAAACCTTAGTCCTCCCCAAAACCCCACCTATGCGCAGTCTCCTCCCTCATCCCTTTCACATGCTGAGGAGTCTCTGAGGGTCTAACTCAATTTCCTCCTTTTGTCCAGGGCTCCATGAAAATCAGATTTCTGCTCTTAATGACATTATCACTCGCTCGAGTGTGTTATGTGGGATTGTGTTACAGGAAAGAGCTAAGGTTGTTTGTCTTGCAACAGATGGCATAAGTAAGTTAGAGCTTCGGTATGTCACCCCCACTGTCTATCAGCCCGGCTGCTTCCCACCTTCCTGTCTCCGCTGGAGGCTCGTCTATCTACTCCCAGACGGCTTCCTTCTGACTCAGATGGCTTCCTGGCAGCCGAAGCAGGAATCTAGAACACCCTCTTCCACCGGCTCTGCTTCTGCGAACACGCTCACCCCTCAAAACTTAGCCTCAGTCTTGCCTTTTCCAAGGAATCTTCAATATCTACCCAGAAATCTTCCGGATGAGGAACCGTGTTTTATAAGCACTGGACTAAGATATCCCCGCCTGGCTTCCTCTGAGCATCCGGCCCGCTTAAAATATGTATGTTGGACAAGCAGCTGTGTTGCTGAAGCCTTGCTCCATGTCTAAGGGGCAGACTTCCGTGTTAGTTACCCCAATACAGCCACTCTCTGTTTCAGTGAGCAAGCTCTCTGCACTCGCCCGCTTACCCAGTCACTCAGCAACACCTGCAGCTGCCTGGCCGACCTGGGTAGGGCTGGCGACGCTGAGGTGGGAAACGGGTCTGGCTGTGCTTGTGGGCTGTCATCCCGGTGGTGGTGTCTGAAATCCAGCGCGAGGGCCGCCAAAACTGTTCCCTTGAAGAACCACATGGACCCTGTGTCCTTAAGCCCCAGGACCCATGTCATCCCAAGCCCTTCCTCCCCGCAGAGATTTCCGCCCTTTTCAAGGGCTTCCCCCGCCCGCCCCTTTTCCCCTACTCTGTCCCTGGGGATGTTTTTCTCTTACGGACTCTCTCCCCTTGGCAGCACCCCAACACTCACCAATCTACCCTGATCTGAGCCAGTCCTGACATACACACCACAGAACATCCCCTACTGGATCGGCTTCCTACATCCCCTTGGGGGAATCAAAAGAAGAAAAGTAACAGATCTGGAAAGCTATTACTATTTCATGACTCAAAAGAAATAAGAAAAGTATGGAGTCAAACTGAAGCATACATGCAATACATATTTTTCCAGGTTTTCATCATTTCATTAATTAAACCCTGTACATGAGCACACACACACACGGAGCTGATGGACACAGAGACATGCTCTCAAGCCCTCCTGTGACCCCGCACTTGTCGGCCAGGAATGTCCTGGCACACCTGCAGCTTCGGGGTCCCTTGGGGGAGCAGCATGGAATCAGCTTCCGGCAAAGCCAAGGCCACAGCGGCGGGGTTTGCCTTCGGAGATGGTGAGAGGGACCGTGGCCAGAGCTCTCACTTGGCATTTTGTGTGCCTTCATTCTTACAGCCCTTGTCTTCATACCAGGGCAGTTGGAGCCTGTTGTGAGCAGTGCAGGACCCAGGCCCAGGCTCCCTGAGTTCCGATCCTGTCTCCTCCCCTTGTTCACTGTGACATGAGGCAAATCCCTTTCCCTCATGGGGCTTCTGTGGCCTCTTCTGTAAACAGGTCTACAGACAATGATGCCAGCCTCATAGGAGTGTTATGAGGATTGAAGCAGTAGGTACACAGTTACTAGAACAGCATCTGGCACTAGAAATGTTTGATCATCTGTGGGGGAATCAAGGCTCAGAGAGGTGAAGCTACTAGCCCAAAGTCACACAGCAAGAAAGAAGCAGGATGACACGTGAGCCAAGCCCCTCTGCCACACTAGCTCTGGAGGCCATTGGCTCTCAGGTGATGGGTTTTCTTTGTACCTGGACATGGGGGTCAGGAAAGCTCCAGTGTAGCTGCTGACTTTTGACCTGAAGGAATCCAGGATATCTCGGGCAGGGAGTCCACCATCAGTCTCAGCAAAAACACTGCTAATCAACCAATCCATCGCTGATGTCTGAAATGATCTGGTGCAGGATGTTTCACCCTCTCTGCTTTTGTCGAGTTGGCCCCCTCCTGGTAGAACACTGCCAGTCCGCAGGTTTCCGAGGGGGAAGTCCTGGCAGTACTGAGAGTTGACCTGCTAAGCTGCATCCTAGGCACCCAGGCTGGGCTCGGGCTGCTGTGTCACCAAAATCCCTGGTCTTTGTACCGTTGGGTACAAAGAACACTTCTCAACAGAAGCAGAGCGAAGTCCTCTTTCCCTTGATGATGCCCTTGGCCTGGTGCCAGGCCTTCTGTTCACTCTCAGATCAGGGATGCTCCGTCCTCTTGCGGGATGTAAGATGTTCGGGAGCTCATCCCAGGCCACCCACAGGCGTCCCAGCTCCCCTCAATGCTGGTTGCTTGGCGCTGAGCCATAACTGAACCATTCCAGCCTTCACCTTCTGCATCTCTAGGGTGGAATAAGGGCAATGAATCCCACCTCAGGGGCTGGCTGGAGGGATGCCTGCTGGATCCTGGGTGTGATGGTTAATTTCAGGTGCCTGAATTAAAGAATCCCTAGAGAGTTGGTCAAGCCTCACTTTGGGGTGTGTCTGTGAGGGTTTTTCTGGAGGAGACTGGTGTGGGAGTCTGTGGACTGAAGGGGGCAGATCTGCCCTCCAGGGGGGCAGGCACCATCCAATTGACTGTGGTCTGGATCAAACAAAATGGGCAGAAAAAAAAGGCAGGTTTTTTTGTTTGTTTGTTTGTTTGTTTGTTTGTTTTCTCTCTCCTGGAGCCAGGATACTCTTCTTCTCCTGTTCTTGAACATCAGAACTCCAAGCTCCCTGACCTTTGGACTTCAGGACTCGCACCAGTGCCCCACCCACTGCTCTGGTTCTCAGGCCTTTGGCATCAGACTGAGAATTACCATTGGCTTTCCTGGTGCTGAGGCTTCTGGATTTGGACTGAGCCGTGCTGCCAGCATCCCAGGGTCTCCAGCTTGCAGATGGCCTGTCATGGGACTTCTCAGCCTCCATAATCATGTGAGCCAATTCCCATAATAAATCCCATCAATCCATCCATCTAGCTAGTTAGCTGTCCATGTCCTGTGTATATAGATAGATTATAACACATATTCTGTCTCCCTGGAGAACCCTGACTAAACTACACTTGAGAAGGCCCAGTTCCACCCCTTTGGGCTTGGGTTCCATCACTTGCAAATTGTGTGACCCCGTACACATTTCCTTAAACCTGAGCCTCAGTTTCCTCATTTGTGAAATTGACCAAGAAAAGGATAACTAAGTCACAGACTTTGAAAAGTGGTAGTGTACCAAATGTCTGATCACAGTGCTGAAAGCACTTATCACAGAGTAAAATCCAACCAATCCATAAGCCCATCGCTCTTTCATAACACTGTGGCTGTGCTACTATTGGGTGTTTATGCTACACACACAATTCCTTGTGGTGGTTTCAATATTTTCTTCATCCTTTGTTGTCCTGCTTTTTCCAGTTTCCATTCCAGTGTACTTTTCCTCAACATTAGCATCATTTTAGGTGGCTGTTTAACATTCTATCTGTTACTCGGCCATATTTCATTTAACCAGTTGGTCATTTGGGTTGTCTCCCTTTTTCCAATACTACACACAGCTCTGTAGTGAGCACATATGGGTAAATCATTCTTCCATCATCCGGATTCTATCCTTAGCATAGCTTTCGAGAAATGGAATTATGGTATCAAAAGGCAATGCACAGAAACAACAGGCAGTGCACACTTTTAAGTCTCTTGATGTGTATTGATCTTTCATGTTCCAAAAAGGAGTCTAGTCTGGGATTTCTACCCTGGTAAGTATCAGGAGGCTGCGTGGCCCACTGCTCCCCCTTGGGCTTGCTAAGGAACAACCGGATCCTCTAGACTTAATTCTTCCCACTCTCGAATCCTGCGGTACTCTCTTGTTTAGAAATACTGCCTGTCTTTGAGTCACTCACTCATTTATTTACTCATTCAATGCTTAATTCCCAATCCTCGCCTTACTCAGCCTTCTTTCTTTTTAACTTGAAGTGTGACTTATGTGCCATAAAATGCACTCACTTTAAGAGTACCCTCATAGCAGTATGCAACCATGATGGCAATCTAATTTTGGAGTGTTGCCATCATCTCAAAATGAGACCTCAGCCCCTGGCAACCACTGATCTATGTTCTGCCTCTCTAGATTATGGACTTGCCTTTTCTGAACATTTCATAAAAATGGGATCATATGGTATATGACTTTTTGTATCTGGCTTCTCTCACTTAGTGTCACATTTTTGATGTTCATCCTGTCACATTAGCCTTCTTTTGGGCAAATCTTTTTCCCCTGGCCTCCTTGACACAGTGCTCTTTCCATTTTCTCTACTTCCTCAGTTGCTCCTCCCAGAGCTGAGACTGGGATGAAGTGACTGAGGCAGTTGCCTGGGAATCAAAATTAAAGGGAATACTGAAAACTCAGTTATCAAGATAAATAATAATTAATGCAATCGTTTAAAAAAATAAAATGAATGAAAAAAAAACTTTATCACAAACAAAATGTCAACATTTTAAATAAAGGCAGGGGCTGGGCAAAGTGGCTCACACCTGTAATCCCAGCACTGTGGGAGGCCAAGGTGGGCAGATCACTTGAGGTCAGGAGTTCAAGACCAGCCTGAGCAACATGGTGAAACCCTGTCTCTACTAAAAACACAAAAAAATTAGCCAGGCAGGTAGCGCATGCCTGTAAACTCAGCTACTCGGGAGGCTGAGGCACGAGAATCGCTTGAACCCGGGAAGCAAAGGTTGCAGTGAGCTGAGATGGTACTACTGCACTCCAGCCTGGGTGACAGAATGAGACTCAGTCTCAAAAATAAATAAATAAATAAACAAAAAAACAAATAAAACATAAAGGCAGGACCCGCAGTAGCTGTGATAAGGGGGAGGTGAGTGAGGTGACTCTGGCAAGAGGAGCGCTGACCCTGAGACAAGGTGTCCCCATCACACTATCTGGACAATGGTCCTCAGCACTCTGGGCCTCTTGATCTTGCTTTAATTTTTCTCCCTAAGACTTTCCGCATTTGTGAGTCCCTTACACAGTTTGTGTGTATTTGTGGAGTGTGTGTGAGGAGTGATGCCTTTAAAAAACTTAGTCCAGGCCAGGCGCAGTGGCTCACGCCTGTAATCCCAGCTCTTTAAGAGGCCAAGGCAGGCGGATCACTTGAGGTAAGGAGTTCAAGACCAGCCTGGCCAACATGGTGAAACCCGGTCTCCACTAAAAATACAAAAATTAGCTGGGCATGGTGGCAGGCACCTGTAATCCAAGCTACTCGGGAGACTGAGAGAGGAGAATCACTTAAACCCAGGAGGCAGAAGTTGCAGTGAGCCGAGATTGCACCACTGCACTCCAGCCTGGGTGACAGAATATGACTCTGTCTCAAAAAAAAAAAAAAAAAAAAATTAGTTCAGACAAGTGGGTATAGCCAGGCCAGGGAACAAAGTGTTCCTCTGTCGCTTGGATTCTTCCCTTAGAATAGATTTCAATCAATGGAACTACTGCATCAAATTCAAGGCACAAGAACTAAATGCAATGGATGTTTTAAAGTCATTTGATGGATCTTGATGTTTTACACCAAGGTTTTATGCAATGATGTGGAGCATGTCTGCTTCACATCCCAGGAGAGCCTCGGACAGCAAGCTAAGGATCCTGAACTTGATTCTTAGGCATGGAGGGCTTTTCGGCAAAGAGCGCCAAGGTCCCTCAATCACCATCAAACACCCATTCACACCAGAGATGGCAGCACACTAGAGCAGGTCAACATTTTTCTTAAAGGGCTAGGCGGCTAAATAGTCTCAGCTAAGCTAGCCATGAAATTTCTGTTGCTCTCACAGCTCTGCCGTTCTAGTGTAGAAGCAGCCATAGACAATGTGTAAACAGATATGCATGATTGTGTTCCAGTAAAGCTTTATTTAAAAAAGCAAGGAGCAGGCCCAGTAGGCATGTGAGTCAAAGTTGGCTACTCCTGCTCTAGAGTGTCCTTGTCAGCTCAATGAATCTCCAACTTTATGCTTGCTGCAGTAATGGGCCTGGAATGTCCCTTAACAGTTTTCAGTAAAACTGCCTTTCTCGGAGCTTTTCTCTGACAGTGTAAGTGCCACACACACTTAGCAGTGCCCAGCGGAGCACCCTCATGCACATGCAATGTGAGCCCTTTGGAAGCTGGTGGAGGGCCAGTGCGTGGAGGAGGGAATGAATGAATGTCCATCTGGGCTTAACCGTGGATGGTGCAAGGTGGGATGTGAAGGGCCAGAGGAAACTGGAAGGTATGCAAAAGCCACTTCCTACAAAACCTGCAGTTTCCCATGAAGCTACACTTCTTTTACCCCTCCTCCTCCTCCTCCTCCTCTATTCTCTATCTTCATGAACAATAACATCAAACACCTCCCTTCTGCTTATGCTAGGTGATGCCTAAACAACTTGCTTCATCCTCCTCACTGCCTTCCTTCTCCTGGATCCCCACATTCAGGGAGTTCTATCTCTGAAGATGGCTCTAACTTGGTCCCCTCCATCCCCACTGTCACTCTCCTGGTCCAAGCCCTTGTCCTCTCCCACCTGGACATCAGCCTGCTGACTGGTCTCCCCATGGCCTATCTCCACCCTCCAGTTCAATTATCTACAGCATCCCTGGAGTCATGTTTCACAAAAGCAGGCAGTATCATTGCTTCTCTGCTCCAAACCCTTAGATGGCTTTCGGTTGCTCAGTTCTAGATTAAGCCTTGACTTAAAGAAAGGAAGGGAGGAGGGAATTGCAAGCATCTGCAATGAGCACCAGTTCCAGGGCACACTGTGCCAATGACATCTCCTCTGCACTCACCTGCCCCTGGCACATGACCTGCAGACACCACTGGCTCCCAGCAGAGAGAGCTCCACTTTGCTCACACACCTTGCCCTGCTCCCGTCGCTGCCCTGGCATTCAACATTCCCCCAAACAGGAGCGCCCTTTGCCTGTTTTCTTGGCCTGATCAATTCCTACTCACATTTTAGGGTTTTCTTCCAGTTCGAATCTTCCTCTGCATCCTTCAGGAAGCATTTACATGGCCCTCTGGAGTCCAGAATGTTTAATTCCAGTGCCTGGTGCCAGTCCTAGAGCCAACACTCAGCCAACAGGAACTGACTGAATAAATGACAGTCAGCTTCTATTTGTGAGAACTTTTTTGACCAAGTTGAATTGTAATTGTTCCAGTAACTCTTCAAAATTAATCATCGGGTAATGCCAAGCAAAGAAACAGAAAGGAAGAGCACACGGCACTATGCCATTAAGTAACCCTCTTTCAAAGTGGCTGCTCACATCCCCAGGGAGAAAACTGACTTTCGATGACCTGTCGATGTAAGTGCTTTCTACATATTGTCTTGTCTACTCCTGTGATACAGAAGCTCTGCCATTCCCATTTTATATATTCAGAGAGGTCAAATAACTTGCCTGAGGTCACACAGCCAGGAACTGGAACTGGAACTGAAGTTCAGCAGCCCCCATGCCCTTGATCTTTCCCCATGCTCAGCTATCCACCAGACACAAGAGAAACTGCCGTGCAGTTGCTCTGTGTTCTCTGCATCAACCCAGTAGCAACCACAGAGTCACACTCCTTTTCTGAAGCTTAGAGGGTTTTATCTGTGGGAGCTGGGAAGTAGCTCTGGGGAACATTGGAGGTTCAGCTTCCTGATCATTTAGAGATTCGAATGTCCAAAGAACCTGGGGAAGAAGAACATAATCTCTAGTATCAGAAGCCTGGAGATTAGTTCCACTGTGTTGGTGAGGAGCCTTCTAGAGGCTTTTTAAGCAATAGGCTTCTTGCCTGACATACAGTATGTGATGGCTGCTGGCCTAGCCACAGACAAATCTCAGTTCAACATCTCCCTTCCTACAGTGAAGTAGATTTCAGTCATTACCCCTTTGTGGCTTGAGTGGGAGGGAGCTGAAGTTCCCACTGCAAATAGCACTCAGGGAGTGTCACCTTAACTTTTTGGCAGCTGGGACCCAGGTTTCAAGCCAGGCTCTTTTCTCTGTGAGCTGAAGAATGAAGCACTGCCAATCACTTCCCCCTTTGGGGGTGTCGGCCCCTGGAGCTGCTCCTTACCATAGCTGTTGGTGGTTAGCTTTCCTATGCCAAGGCAAAAATCAACAAACCCCGTGTTTCTGGCCCCGGTTTTTGTGAAACACCTGCTGGGTCTTCTCATTACAACCAAAAACCAGACTAATTGTTACAAACACAGGAATTGGCCTTTCCTTCACTTGGTTCCCAAGGAGGCCAAAATGGAAAAAGAGGAAAATGCAATGAGATTCTGCAGGCAGAATGGGGAATGCGGCAAGGCAGGCCAGAAGGCCATAGAATTTGCAGACAACTCAACAATTTGAGTAAAAGCGATTAGTGACATGCCATTTTCTTCTTGCCAAGAACAGTCTTCCCTTCATAAATATCTGCAGGGGCATGACTTAAGTAAACAGGTGGTTTGTAATAATTGTATCCCTTTTACTCCTTGGTGCAGCCTAAGTGCTTGATAAATAAATGAGTGATTATAAGCCACACACTTAAGAAGTTAGAAAGAAAATAAGAAAAATGTTCACAGTATTTTCTGGGAATGTGTTTGGTTTCGATTCCATATAAATTTTCATTGTTTTTTCTAATTGTTTTTCTAATCATGGAAACATTATTTTGAAGTGAAAATTAAACTTTATTTTAAAATAAGGTGCTTACAATGATTTGCAGCATTCAAATTGCCTTTAATTCTATTCAAAACTGCTTACACTCCATTTCATTCAACAATCCTTTTGAAACCATTATGATAATTATATTTGGCATAAAATGTTCATATATACCTTGTTAATACGTGACTTTAAAGACTTAAAAATACCAAAAAAAATGGATAACCTAGAAGAAATTAATAAATTAATGGAAACACATAGCCAACTAAGATTAAGTCATAATGAAATAGGAAATCTGAGCAGATCTATAACTAGTGAGGAGATCGAAGCTGTAATCAAACAGCTCCCAACAAAGAAAAGCCCAGGACCAGATGGATTCACTAGAGAATTCTATCAAACATTTAAAGAACTAACACCAGTTCTTCTCAAACTCTTGCAAAGAATCGAAGAGGAGAGAACACCCTCAAACTTATTCTATGAGGCCAGAATTACCTTGATACCAAAACCAGACAAAGACACAGCAAGAAAAAAACACTACAGATAATACCCCTGATTAATATTGATTCAAAAATCCTAAACAAAATACTACCAAACCAAATTCAACAGCATGTTAAAGGGATCATATATCATGATGAGTTGGGATTTATACCTAGAATGCAAGGATGGTTCAACATATGAAAATCAGTGTAACAAAATGGAGGAATAAAACCACGTGATCATCTCAATGGATGAGGAAAAAGTATTTGACAACATTCAATCCCCTTTCATGATAAAAAACACCAAACAAACTAAGAATAGAAAGAAACTACCACAACATAGTAAAAGTCATACATGGAAAACCCACAACAGACATCATACCCAGTGGAGAAACACTGAAAGCTTTTCCTCTAAGATCAGGAACCAGGCAAGGATGCCCATTCTCACCATTATTATTTGACATAATACTGGAAGTTCTAGCCAGAACAATCAGAAAAGAAAAAGAAATTAAAGACATACGAACTAGAAAAGAAGACTTAAAATTATTTCTATTTGCAAATGACACAATCTTATGTGTGGAAAACCCTAAAGATCCTACTAAAAAACTGCTAGAATGAATAAACAAAATTAGCAAAATTTCAGGATACAAAATCAACACTCAAAAATCAATTGTGTTCCTATACACTATCAATGACCAATTGAAAAGGGAAATTTTTAAGAAAACAAGTTCATTTACTATAGTATCAAAAAGTATAAAATACTCAGGAATAAGCTTAACCACAAAGATGAAAGACTTGTACATGGAAAAGTACCAAACATTGGTGAAAGAAATCAAAGAGGACACAAATAAATGGAAAAACATCCAATGCCCTTTGATTGGAAGGCTTAATATTGTTAAAATGTCTGTATTACCCAAAGCAATCTACACATTCAATGCAATCCCTGTCAAAGTCCCAACTGCACTTGTTGCAGAAATTGGAAAAAAATACTGAAATATATATGGAATTACAAGGGATCCCAAATAGCCCAAATGATCTTTAAAAAGAACAAAGTTGGAGGCCTCACACTCCCTGATTTCAAAACATACTACAAAGCAACAGTAGTGGTACTGGCATAAAGATCGATATATAGATCAATGGCAGGAACAGTGTGCCAAGAGATGAACCCCTGCATTTATGGCCAAATAATCTACAACAAGAGTGCCAAGACTACAGAGTGAAGAAAGGATAGTCTCTTCAAAAAATGGTGTTGGAAAACCCAGATATCCACCTGCAAAAGAATGAAGTTGGACTTTTCCCTTGCAGCAGATATGAAAATCAACTCAAAAGGAATCAAAGACCCAAATGTAAGACCTGAAACTATTACACTCCTAGAAGAAAACACAAGAGAAAAGCTTCAGGACATTGGATTTGGCAATGATTTCTTATATATGACACCCAAAGCACAGGAAACAGAAACAAAAATTGGCAAATAAGACTACGCCAAACTCAAAAACTTTTGTGCATCAAAAGAAAGAATCAACAGAGTGGAAAGGCAACCTATGGAATGGGAGGAAATAATTGCAAATTGTTTATCTGATAAGGGATTGATACGCAGAATATATAAGAAATTTCTACAACTCAACAACAATAACAACAACAAACAAATAAGACAATTTAAAATGGGCAAAGGACTTAAACAGACATTTCTCCAAAGAAGATATGAATGGCCAATAAGCACATGAAAAGATGATCAATAGGACTAATCATTAGGGAAATACAAATCAAAACCATAATGTGTTATCACCTCTTCCATCAGAATGGCCACTGTCAAAAGAATGGAAAACAATAAGTGTCAGCAAGGATGTGAAGAAGTTGGAACCCTTATGCACTGTTAGTGGAAATACAAGACAGAAAAAAAATATGGAAGTTTCTCATAAAATTGAAAATTGAGTTACCGTATGATCCAGCAATCCCACTTCCAGGTTTATATCTAGATGAATTCAAAACAGAATATCAGAAAGATATTTGTATATCCATGTTCAGTACAGCATTATTCACAACAGCCAACAGGTGGAAGCAACCTAGATTCCCATCAAAAATGGATGGATAAAGAAAATATAGTATATACATACAACAGACTGTTATGCAGTCTTAAAAAGAAAAAAATCCTGTCACATGCTACAACATGGAAGAATTTCAAAGACATTATGCTAAACACAAGAAGCCAGCTGCAGAAGAACAGATACTGTAATTAATCTACTTTAACTCTGAAGTATCTAACATAGTCAAAATTATAGAAATAGAAAGTAGAAGGGTGGTTAACAATGGCCAGAGGGAAGGGAGAAGGGGAAGTAGCATCTAGTGATATATAGTTTAACAGTTGCAAGATGAAAACGTTATAAAGATCTGTTGCACAATAATGTGAACATACTCAACTGTACACATAAAAGTGGTTAAGAAAGTTTATTTTATTTTATTTTATTTTATTTTATTTTTGAGACGGAGTCTCGCTCTGTTGCCCAGGCTGGAGTGCGGTGGCCTGATCATGGCTCACTGCAGCCTCCGCCTCCCGGGTTCTAGCGATTCTCTCCCCTCAGCCTCCCGAGTAGCTGGGATGACAGGTACGCGCTGCCATGCCTGGCTAATTTTTTGTATTTTTGGTAGAAATGGGGTTTCGCCATGTTGACCAGGCTTGTCTCGAACTCCTGACCTCAGGTGATCTGCCCACCATGGCCTCCTAAAGTGCTGGGATTACAGGCGTGAGCCACTGCACCCGGCCAGAAGGTTAATTTTAATTCTGTGTATTTTTACCATAAAGAAAGAGCGAAAAAAGGAAACACACCTTTTAATGAGACAATTCTATAGAAAGACTAAATCTCTGCGTTGGAATATCACAAAGTCCAAGTGAGGAGGTCTGAATGAATAAAGCTCCGTCAATGCCGTGACATGTTTCCACATCTCAGTAGTAATGAACACATTCCATGTTGCTGATTCCAAGAATGATATTTCATTTATGGCTCAGAAGACCCTTGAGTTTGTGGTTTCTGTAATTATTTGTCTTTGGAACTATCTCAAATGGAGAAATGCCGATAGGTCAGAATCTTCCAACTCAAAGTGTCTCTACCTTGAGCCTG